TTATTCTTTTCTATTTTTAAATCCTTTTTTTAAATATCCTGCTTTACTCTTTGTTTCTAATTATGCTTGCTCTTAGCCTGTACCAATGTCTGTGTAATTGCAATTGCTTTTGAAATTAGCATAATAAATAATTATTAAAATACATTAAAATACAAAATCGATATTTAACCGATATTAAAATTCACATTGCTTTGAATTTGGAAATATTTGTCTCTGTTGATTGAGTGTATTTTTATAATTGAACATTAATAAGGGAAGTCTGCCGGTTGTGGGCACCCTTTTGTTTTTGCCTCATAACATTTGTCCATGTGCATGTTATACAAATATATGTGTACAAATTTAAAGCTAGAGGTCTAAGTTGACTGTCAGTGAAGGAATTAAATTGATTCCTTTAAATAAAAAAGTTTTATTAGAAATTTAGTGAAATGGAAATTTTTTGACAAAAAAATTTTTGTACCCGGTTGTGGGCACCCTTGAAAAATCCGCTAAAAATGGAAAAATATTAAAGGAAACCAACCAAATAAAGAAGAAATGAAAGTTTCTTTATTTTAAGAGACTTTGCCGGGATAAAGAACAAAAATGATGACACGTTTTCACACTATGCTCATCGCTAACAAAAGCATAATGCTTGCATGTGAAGTAGCTAGTACGCAAACCATAACGCACTTCTAATGCACTGAACGACTATTTTTATCGCATTTAATAGAGTTTGCGGCTGTCAATTTCCTTGGCAGAAAGTTTAGATAGATGAGACAGTAGTCTACATCATTTTCAGATGGTAGAGCCTCCTTAACATAAAGGTGCCCACAACCGGGAATGACAGTCATTTTTTAAAAAGACCAACACATTTTGTGATGCAGGATTTTGGTTAAACACGAAGGTAAATCACAAAATATAATAACAACACTGCAAAAAAAAAATTAAACCCTTTTTTTCTGAACGAATCTACACCCATATGTTGCTCTTCGAAAACAATACAAAATTACTTTTTTATTAATTTAATGCAAATTTTCTTTATTATGCTCACAGCTATTACACAAATGCATATATATTTGTTTTGTTATCAATACGAAAAGTCCGTATTGTCAACGAACACGACTTGCAATACTTAGATCAGTAAAGTCTGCTTGCCGTCGAAGTTTACGTAGGGGTGCCCACAACCGGCGCACTTCCCCTACTATATTGTTGAGTGCACTCATTGATTAATTATCAAAACAAACAAATAATACACTACAGGGTTACTCTAGCATCAACATTCTTTTTTTAGAAATGAACAATTTCATATTATAATGCACTATACTGTTTAGTAAACAATGAGCGTTAATGTAAGCATGTATTAAACCTATTCTAATTTGGTTAAATCGAGGCTACTTACTGATTTTTTGCTTTCATTAATGAGGGGCTCATCCAAGTTTTTTAATTAAATACATTAAGTTAAATTATTAAAATATCGATTCCTGATATAATTGACTATATTTATTGTAACCAAGTTTTACATAAAAATATGTATTTATTAGATCTTCTTGCCCATGTAATTCTCGTCCTTCTCAACCTCCAGGATACAATTGTAATAATTCACAGAAATCCCTATCCAGTAATAGGAATTATTTTGATAGACTTATTAAAATAACCAAACTTTTGTCTTCTAGTATAGAACGCAGCACACCTACAATGTTATTCACACAATCATCCGGCGAAGAAAGTAACAAAAGACTCCGTGATACTTCACACTCTTCCACATCGAGCGGCCCTCCTACGGATCCTCCCGGGAACAAGACAGACAAGAAAAAGTTCAGAAGAAATATCACTGGACTTTCTGAAGATTACCAAAGCCGACATTTATGCCCACCTATGGGAGACCCTCCTAATATGTCATCTAGTTCCTCAAATTCAAGACCATCTTCAGGAATGGCTCGAACCACGAATGGACAAACTGAATTTTTTCCAAGAATCATCAACAGCTACAAAACCTTTTGGGCAACAGAACGCAAGTAATATGCAGCCAAATAACAACTATTGGCATTCTGAGACAGATTACGTTTTAGACAACTTCATCTATGATAACTCGTTCAATCCACCCTTTTTAGTGCTAATGGAATCAACAACCCTGGCAGAAATCTGGATAGAATGGACCCGATAGCCATTGGAAAAATGATGTCCAATTATAATATTGGTGATAGGAAAATTCACATTAGTAGACAAAACCAGATTAACATTCTTTACGATTGAATTGAAGACGCAAATGCCGCACTATCATCGGAAGAACTTTATGATTTGGGCTATAAAGTATTTTTACCGGAGTCCACATTCTGCAAAAAAGGATTTATTAGAGTTGATCCAACTTATCCTGTTCCTGAAGTGATCAGCTATATGAATGGGAAAACAAAGGGTATCTTGATTTCAGCAAAAAGGAGATTACAAAAAGGTAGTACACTCGACTCTCGGATCTTTTGCACTTATGGGACCAAATCCTCTCATATCTTTTACCAAAACAAATGCCATGGTAACGCAAAACAAAACAATACAGTATTTATGTTTTAGTTTTAATATTTACATTTATAGTAATTAAAATTTTAATGTAATTTTAATCACATAATGGAGGAGCTGCTATAATTCACTTTAGTTAACCTAAGTTATCGTGAAATAAATATTTTGGCACTCTGATAGTCATTTATTTATTTAATGTAAAAGGTAAAAGGTGCGGGAGAAAAATTGCAAAAGGATCGAGAGTGTAAAAGATCTGAATGCAAAAGATCCGAGAGTCGAGTGTATAATATTTCAATGAATATTATAGACTTAAATTTCAGATCCCAAATTGGTTTTTATTTATCAGGTAGCCCATACTATAATACCTATATTAACCTCCTTTTAAAAGATGCTCAAATGTCAAGTCTTCGGACACGTCACTGCTTAATGTAGAGCAACACACTTTACTTGCGGAGAAAAACATGAGACGGATGGCTGTGAGAGCACAAGATATGATAATTATTGCATCAATTGCGCTGCGAACCATAAATCTTCGTCGAGTTCCCGCTTGGTATGCAGATTTCAACTTGAAATTAGGAGAGAACGCTACATTTCCAATCGTTCAAGAGAAGAAGCAATCATCATCCTGGGTCAAAAAGGTACTTTCAGTTTAAGCCCTGATAATAGAATTGATAACTTACTGGATAGCATCTGTAGGTCTTATAACACACAATTTGACTCATCAAACAGAAACTTTAAATCCTTGCCTAACTCAAACACTAATATAATAATTGGAGAAAAAATGCAGAATATGATCCGACATCAATAAATACGAATAATGATTACACATAAGAATCAAAAACATTACGAAGAACAACTAAACTCTGAATATGATATAAATAACAAGAAAAGCACCTCAGAAGATTTTGATCTTCTGAGTTTGGTATGGGAGCCTTTGACAGCAGTACCCATTGGAAATTTATTCATCACTAACCTGGTCACTTTTTGGAATGTAGCCCTTATTTATTATTTAAGATTACATCACTATATTACATAAGATTTCATTATCTTATCTTTAAAAACGTTATCTAAAATTATCAAAATTAATTAAATTACTTTGTTAATTTGTAATCTACCAAACACTGTTTATATCGTTGCCTGAAAAATGTATCTCGTTTTTACAATTAAATAACTTTAAAAACGCTGTTTTTTGTTTGGTAAGAGCCAGGATTGAATTTCTGTCAGTTATTTAGTAGCCTCATAATCAGATATGTATGGCTAGATTTCAAAGAATACAAAGTAGATTTTTTAGATTTACTGCTAAACAAACGGATACGATAACTTTAGATCGCATATCAATATTATAACAATAACATTATGATTCTTTTATGTTGATTTACTTTTTTTATATAAAATAATAAGTAATAAAATTATTTGTCCCTAGATCAGTAAATTTTTTAGCTCTTAAGAGATCACCTCAAGTATATGAAACCATTTTAGGAAAAAAATATGAATCACGAAGATATTTAGGTTTGTAAAAGTTCTATGAGAAATTCTAGTAATTTTCCGTTGTATTATTCTGCAATAAGGTCTTTATTGCATAAGTTTTTGTAATGTAATTTTATGTTTATTTTTATGTTCTAGGACCGATGGTTATTCATAGGAGACCCATAGGATATCCTAAATATTTAAATTCTGTAAGGAAATATAATTTATTTTTCTTTGATCAATTGTATTAAAAAGAAATAATAGTATGGTTAGATAAACTTTTCTTAAAAAATAAAGCACCATTTAAGTATTTCATCTTTGAAATCTTTTAAATTCTTAGTCTCAAAAGATCAGTGGAACTATTAAGATTTTAAAATATTGATATAGAAACAGTTACAGAAAAATATAATTTCCTTACGATGAAGAGAATAACTACACAGGCCTGCAAAATTTTGTTCATGTCTGTTACAAAAAAGGGAGGTGATTCTTACATATTTTTTGACACAGAATCCGAATCTGACCTCAAAATAGACCATCACGTCAGGATTTTCTGTAATATTTGGTTAAATGGTCAAGAAATGACTATTTTTGTGTGGCTTACCAAAAATCTTATTTTAATTTTACGAAATGGTATCGTATACTACACAAAAAAGTCTTGAATTGAGTTTACAAACGAACTAATTTTAAGATGTAACAAAAAGTAGTATTCGAATATTTAAAATTAGTGTGATAAAAGAGTCTTAAAAATAGTCGTTAACAGAGATTGAATGAAGCCACAATGTGGTCTTAAAAATAGCCTGTCAACTATTTTGAATTTTGCAATTTTGATTGCAAATTTCTAATTATAACATAGGTAATCAAAAGAATAATTAAAAATGGATATTTCATAATTTAATTTGTTTTATTTTTAATGCTGATCTTAAATTTGAATACAGCACATTAAAAATGTATGGGAAAACAGATTGCTTTTTGTTTCAAAATTTTGTTGACCTGTGTATATAATGAATTTTAAAAACAGCGAATTTGAGGTAGCGGCAGTCCCTCACCTGTAAAAAGGAGGTGGCATGGCCTGCGCTTCCGCGAATAACGTTAACGTTTCTCCTTCTTCCTTGACCATTCCATCGAATTTAGATCTAGATGGCAATCGAGGAGGACTTAAGCCCACCGGCTCTAAAAGGGAGAATACGTCATAAAATTGCCATCTATTACAAAGATAAATTGTTCATAAAAAATATTTATATACCACATTTACAATTTTGATAAAATTAATGTTGCTAATAGATAACTTAAAACTTAATTTGATTTCTCAAAGAAAAAAATTAAAATAATATTTCTAACAGACATTTAAATAAATATAATCCAGACAAAATACCAGTTATCAATACCAATTTTGCAACATTATCAATTTTTTCACATATTTAACGGGGGTATTTCTATCATTTTAATGGTGATTTATACGTATGTGAAATAAAGACAACAAATCTGGCACAACATTGGCAGAGGTTAACAGATCTGGCAGTTTTATTTTTATGAAATTTAGACATAAAGGCTTAACATCAAGGAAGTCTGTTCCATATTAATATTAAATAATTGTTTCACATTTTCATTATTTCCTAATTATAGGCCTTATTTAAAACGTTTGATTAAGACTGTCGTTAAGTAGCTCTTAGACTATAAAAAAGCTGTAATTGGACGAAAAGTTGATTTAATAATAATAAAAAGTCAATTACAATTATACCAAAATAATTCAAATTATCATTTGACTTAAGAACAGAGTGCAATTGAGGATTCAAGTGCAATAAGGAGATACCGCGTGCATTCAAGCAGAAAGTTGAGCGCTTCGTTTATCTGGCGAATTTCACAGATTTACAAATTAAAAGCATTTTTTTGCCAATCGAACAAAACATTTCTTTTCGATTAGAAGGTGTTTTTTGAGTAAGAAAATCAGTTTTAATTTTTTCCCCTCATGCAATTTTGCTGTAGCTGAAAATTTTGCATTTTCGAGGTGTGACGTCACTTAAACTTACCTGTAGGATAATTAGCTTGTCAAAATATTATGAGTAGGGTACCATAGAAAGGTAATTTAATTACCTTTCGATCCATAGGTTATAGAATAAAATGACTATTCTACACTAGATTTAGTGTATGAAACTACTATTTTCATTTTTAGTATCCTTAAATGTGTTGCTCGGGGGTTCTCCATCTCGCTGATTACGAATCCGACGTCAGATTTAGAAAATTCAAAGAAGTGTATTCAATAGGTGCGAGTTCGATGGATTTTTAAAATACTCGTCCACCATAAAGAATCCATTATTATCAATTTTCAAAATCTGACATCGGATTCGTAATCAGCGACCCCGAAAACCCCCGAGTAATGAATTTGAGACTATGATTTTAGTAATTTTAGCGCTTAACTAAATTTATTTTTTTAAATTTTTGCTGCAAATGTTTAAGTTATACTAAAAATGAAGAAAGTAGTTTCGTTCACCAAATTTAGTGTAGAATTGTCATCTTTAATCCAATCGTAGTCCACAAGGGCTCAAAATTTTCGTAATAATATAAACTGTCAATGAAAATATTTAAACATAAACATTTTTTACAGCTTGAAGTGGAAAAGAATAGAAGAAATTACTCATGTGCCTAAAAATCATCAAAATTTTCATGAAATTTGATATTTAATAATAGACTGTAACTCTCTTAATTTTCGTCGAATTTTATTCTATGACCTATGGATCGAAAAATAATTTCAGTACCTTTCTAATGGTACCACATTCATTATATTTTGACAAGCTAATTATCCTACAGGTAAGTTTAAGTGACGTCGCACCTCGAAAATACAAAATTTTTCTTATTTATTAAGAAAACTAAAAAATATATATGTATATAAATTAATAGTAGTAGTTGAGGACTGATAGTAACGGACTGCCAAGATTCAAGGTTCAAGGCAAATAATGACGATGTCTGTTCCAATTATTATTCACAACTCTCAAGAATCTGTGACAAAAAGGTAAAAATGAAGTATCCTTTTTCACAGTCTATACTAAATGTATGAGAGATAAATTTTACAATTATTAAAAATGAACAATCACTTTCATACATTATTTTATGATTAATTCATGATCTGATTATATACTCAGTCGGTTTCTAGGGTTTATTCTATCCGTGATCTTGATGTCACTTTGGACTCTACATTTGATTTCAAAACTCACAATTTTAATATTGTCAACAATGCTCATAGGGTTTTAGGTATGGTCACCAGAAGTGCTTCTAGTTTCACAAATATTGTTGCTCTAAAGGTTTTGTACTTTTCCCTTGTCAGAATAATTATTGATTTTGCGTCATTAATATGGTCACCCTATCTGGACATTAATATTGATTTACTTGAAAAAAATGTATGCGATTTATTGCGACACGATTAGTGTTGTCTTTTGATTTTTTCAGTCACGACTATTCTGAACTTAGAAGGATTCTGGGCATTCCATTACTTAGTTTAAGATTTCTATATACTGGTTTACTTTTTTTGTTAAAAATAATAAACGGTTTTTTCAATTGCCCTCAAATTTTGTCACTTTTAAAATTCTCAGTTCCTTTCAAACCTGCTAGGAACCCTTCTATGTTCAAATCGTTCATTTGTAGAACTAACTATCATGAGAACTCTGTAACATTTAGACTATGTAGAGAGACTAACGAATACCATAATGTTTTAGAACTTTATGGCATTTTTCTTGGCAAATTTGTCAGGAGTCTACAAAATATAATTTATAATTTATTTATTACACGGAGAAACTTTTTCTTCTAATATTGAATATATTTGGTTATCTTTATTCTAAAAGTACGTTAGAATGTGAGGATTTTTCGTGCGTTGTGCTAATAATTTCAACATTAATACGAAAATATGATAAGTTCGTTATATATTAAGCAACCTTCGGTGTACAAAAATTACTATCTGCATTAGAAATAGTCTTATTTTTCTTTAGAAAAGAATAAAATGCTAGTTTTTGTTTGTGAAATAATACGGTAATTCTAACCTTTTTTCCACATATAGATAGAATATATAACAGACATTCTAACGTAACATACCAATTTTGGAAGGACTGCGGGCGGACTTAACCGATTTCGCCCGAGCATCACCGAGTCCATCACCTGACGTCGCGAACTAACCCTAATGTTTTCGAAGTTGAAATTCACACGTGTATGAAAGAAAAAAACCTTTTATTAATAAACGTGAATGTCTCCTCATGCCAAATTAAATTCAAGAACTGTTCCTCAATATAACATAATTTTTTTCACGACTTTTACTTATTTACATAATTTGATTAGTAAGTTATTTTAAAAAATGCTCTCTCTCGAAGGCACATATTTTTCCACTCGTTTAATATATAAGGACGATTCAGCTGTGTACTTCTAACGAATCGTGCGATCTTTCGGTTTCCGTGACCAATCGTGCCAATCGTCGTGTCTTTACTTGCGTGTGCGTGTGTGCGTTATTAATATAGGTTAGGTTCTTACGTCGTGTTAAATATATTTACCTACAGTTACAGTGACATTCACTAATGCCATCTACCATCAGATCCAAGTATCACTATCGTCTCATCTATGAGTATCTATAGACAATTAATTTGTTGTGTTTCTTTTTAATTCATGGCTTTCCCAACTTTGCAAAAATTATTATTTTCTTTCTAAAACAACATACTAATTTTCGTTAGTTTCCTTATGAAGAACTGTAAAATATATACTGAATGAGTGTTTTTGATAGTCTCAATAGCAATTTCTATAACCTATGTCGTTTTTCCCTTGAATCTAACCTAACATACTAAAATGTCTCACCAGTTTTAAGAATTAGTGGTATTAAAAGTTTCTCCGTGTAGAATTATTTAGATATCTAAGTGTCAATGCTTTGCTTATTGTCATTCTCGAGCTCTACTTTCTTATATTAAGTATATTTGTGCGAAACGGCATTGCCCGCTAATATGTAAATAAATAAATTATACTCTTACACTGAATATTTACTTTAGCAGTGAAAAATACTCTAGAAAATTAAGAAAATGGGAACTTTCTTGAAAACCAAATTGTAAGTTGGATCACAATCATAATCATGTATGCGAGAACGCAAAATATTCCCTACATTTCGGAGCACCAGCACCAACTTACTTGAAACTTAGTAATATTTTTATTGGTATAAAGTTTTAGAAAATTAACTTATGACAAAAGAACAGCTCATTTTTAAGAAAAGTAAAAAAAATAGAAAAACAAGTGAGCTCCTGTATCAAGAAAACTCAATTAGCTGCTTGGCTGATATTAGAGAGTACATCCAAGCTCTAATCGAGTTTTTTGATCCGGAAACTCAGTTAGTTACTGATTCGACGCTGGAGTAAGATCTATGGAATTTAATGAAACGTCGAGAAATCTTACGCTTAACAGTTATACTTATTTCACAAAAGAATATATATGAGTTCTAGGCGTAAAGTTTGTGCTGTATTTGTATAAAGTTGTGCGATATGAGCATAAAAATTTTACTTTAAACGCATGGGACATCAGTATACTTTAATCATTTAATTTATATATTGTGCCTTATGCCGCAACTCATCACATTACTAACTCTGTTTCTTGGTTTGATTTACGCATATTAGATGAGATGAACAAATTAACTCGTTTTTCTCAAACTCATGTTCCTTTTGTGGCTGATCATGAATTGATTAATATTTCATATAAATGAAAACAAAATGTTCAAAAGAGTCTTTTAAAGTCATGTCCTAATTTCAAAGGTATAAATGACACTGAATGTTTAACTACTTTGTCTGCCTCGGATTTGTATAACTATACTCTGGTCAATTTGATCGATGATAAATTATTGTTTTTTAATAATGTAATTAATGATGCCTTGAATAAGCATGCTCCTACATATATTCAGGGGTCAAAGAGAAAAAAGCATGCCCTTGTGTGAATGATGATATTATGGATTTTATTCAAAGGAGAAACTCGACTTTTAGAGTACGGAAGATGACTGGTGATATTTTGATTCGAGATAAATATAAGGCTTCAGAGTGCTTCTGATCAGAGGATTCTCTGCAGGGATTGGAGGTATCTTAGAATTATTGAGTCAAGTGCATGTGATATCTCTCCACATTCTTTTTCTGTTAATGATATTAATGCTCACTTTCTAAATATTT